GAGTGGTACAGTGTTGGCGTCATAAAGCAGCCGATTGGAGACCTTGAGGCCGCGAGCTACTGCGAGCAAGGGCATGGGAATGATCCAGATAATTAGATAGCGGAGTTTAAGATGAGCTGCAATACACCCCGCTCTTCTCTTGCCGCTCTCCCGGGAACACAGTCTTTTCACCACTCAAGGAATGCACGTAAATCGGATTTTATACAATGCTGACTGATAGTGCCCGCCACTGGCGACCACGCATCGCCTCGCAAAGCCAAACATGATTTGTTGCTGCTGCTCAAATGTGGTCGCCATTGGCAGTCGCTCTATGTCGGCGGCAACACTACGCCATCATACATGTACATTTAATTAATTCACGTACTGTAATTCAGCCGTTATTAACGATCGTCTGCGACCTGCGAAGATGCGCTGCTCATGCGCGTGGCGGCTGCTTACTTCCGATTGGGAAAATCAAAGAATACGCCACAGTGTTCTCGGCCGGTGCAGGGCGACCAGTGGAGGTATGTTTCTTACACCTGTGGATCAAGCTGCGATGTTTGTTGTCACTGTACAGATGCAGTCAACACCGCTTAAATACGGTTTACTGAGTAATAACACGGGACACGGCGAACGCTGGTGGCGTGTGCTGGTGCTACCCTCTGCATCTATGCTTTGACAGAGCCAGGAACAGGCGCGTTGTTTAGTTCGTGTGCGAGTGGCGTCTACGGCTCGCGCTGATTGTGGCTGCCACTAGTGCTCGCCACTGCTACCATACGCTTAATATTACGTGGTTTTCACAATTTTTTCTCAGCCGCTCTTGCTTATCATTCCTTGTCGTGCTTCGCCCATCATGTCCGTCACCTCGACCCTTGATTTCTTTTTCTCCCCGAGTATATACATACTGCCGTCCCGTGATATATTTTCCCTATTTTCTGTTCTACTCACAAGTATGCAAGCCGTTCGCTCTCTTCGCCCGCTGCCTTTCACTCCTTTCGATGCCGATGTCCAGCTTGGCTGGTCTCCTTCCGCCGATCGACCGAGTTTTGACTGGTGGCCTGGAGTCACTCGTCGCATCAAGTGCCACAACCGCGTGGAATACGACGCAATGCACGCGTTCATCGACTCTCGCACTCTTTCCCAGCGAGCACAGTCACACGACATTTCCACTACCTCAGGACTCGGTTTTCAGCGTGTTTATGTCGACACCTATCTCAGTCAATATGAGAATGTCTTTGCCAAACTGGACGGTAGTTGGTGAGGGCTCCTGTGCGAAGGAGACTTCATATCCCTATGGATGGGCCGCTGCCGCTCTCGCCCTCAGCGCACATGGATCAACTTAGTGGGGCAGATAGTTCGATTCAAGGTGTTCTGGGATGGTCATGTCACAGTTGAAGTCTGTGGATCACGTGTCGGCTGGGAACTCACCGTATTCCTTACCTTCCGCATTCGTGACATCTCACCGCCATCTGCCATTGCTTCTCCGGCATGGAAGTGGACTGCCACTCCGTGCACAAAATATATCAGACGTCCTGCCCCGCTTCCTCTGCCCCCGCGCCAACAAGCCTTACAGCCCACGACGGCTTCCGATCACGCTGAGCACGCCGCGCTCGCTTCCTCAGGCGCTGTCTTCGACATGGAAGTATTCGGTGTTGCACCTGCGTTCAGGCTACACTAATAGCACCAATCGTACGTTCTCTGGGTTCGACTTTTGTTATTGGTCTCACGTGTCTTACCAGGATTACTCGACTTCTTATTCATGTCGTACAAATCACGCTCTTTTATTTTGCCCGCCTTTTCTCATAGTTCATAGTTTATAGGTTTCTATCTGCTTGCTTGGACTGAGTGCTTGCTTATATCAGTGCTATTCCATCTAATAACTTTTGGCCGCTAGTTTGTACGTCGGTGTTTATCAAATTTACCCCTCACACCGGTGGTGGATGAAGCCCGGTTACTGAAACTAGTCCGCAAGCTATATATTGCGCCAAAGGCAGTTAATATTGCCTACTATCTCTTGCTATTCGCTGTGAGCCGTGTAATGGTGACAATCCTGGGTACCAGGCTACATTTGATGCTGTTGATTCACAGCAGAGTGCTGGTCAGCGGCAAGCAAGGTCGTGTCATCAGCTGATGAGATGGCCGCAACAAGTAAATGATGCCTGTGGTAAGGATTACAATGTTGGCGTTGTCGGCCAGGAAGCAGAGCTGAACCCCGCCAAATTTACGGTCCCGCACCGGATGACTAAGTCACAGGATTCGCGCCGTGGCAGCATGGTCGCCGGTGGCGGCCAGAACGCGCCAGTGTCTTGAATGAATGGGTCTGCTGACATTTGACAACGACTGTGCATTTTGTGGTTGCCGCTGGCGGCCAGAGCGGGCATACAGCTCGGCTTTGGTGGCGTCACTGCGCTGTACGGCCACCACTAGCGAGCACACCCCGTCGATCTCTAGTCCTCGTCGGTCCGTTGGCCATTGGCTGTGCCTGTACGCGGTGTGGTCGCCGCTGGCGAGCGGAGCGCATACGCAGACCGGTGAAGCCGATCCGTTAGTGACCGAGTGCCACGCTATCAGCACTAGCAGGAAGAGCACGTCGCCATCCTGGCTACACGAGTCGCTAGCGCTTCATTGAGCACGTGTGTTATGCGGCTGCCGCTAGCGAGTAGATCGTATGTCCCGATCGGAGTTGCCGGTCTCTATAAAGAGCTTAGCAGACGGCATGTGCCTTTTCATTTGCGCCTGCCGTCTAAGGGACGAAACATGCACGCGATGATTGGCTGCTCACCTGTGATAAGCAGCGCGTGGTCGTTGCGCAGTGCGCCCGCCAGCGGCGACCGGTCTTATCTTGTCTCCAAATCAGCTAGCCGTCGCAGATCATCCCGCTTAATGATGGTGGCGCAATTCTGTCACAGTCTACCGGCTGCTTCAACGTGCAGGGTGTTTGCTTCTCTCAACAATCCATATTACTCCCGAGCTAGAAGCGACACATGCTAGAGAAAGTTTATGATCAGCCGAGATCTGTCCTCGAGGCAGTTGCCTGGGGGTTATATAGAACTGGCTGGGTGGTTACGTGGCTTTGCTACACATCCTCCTCAGCTCTGTAAATCGTCGACAGCAACAGCAACAGCAACAACATGGGCGCAACGTGGGCTTTGTTCTTGATTTTCGCCTTGCCGTGGGACAAGAATGTTTGGCAGCAGAAGAGTGGGGTTGCGGTGCCAATCTGGGAGGACAACCATGACCCCGCTCTCGACATGGTCGTGAGCACGGCGCAGAAGGCCGCTATCAAGGACTTCGTCGAGCGGGTGCGGGGTGCCAAGGGCAAAGACGAAGCGGAGGCTATCTGGGGTTGCCGCTCGAAGGGCAAGGGCAAGAACAACAAGGAGGGGGACGAGCACGCTCGTAAAACAATCCAAATATGGCAGAAGAAGGTGACGTCGCAGAGTACGTGGTCGGTTGGGGCGATTGTTCAGGAGGTACTTGATGACGCCCGGGTTGGCTATTGGGAGCATCTCAAGCAGTCTGACGACCCGCGGGACATTGACAGCGTACGTCTGATTTCTGCACGTAGCGTTATTGACAGTCACGACTCTTTATTAGGTCGACGTCGACATCAAAATGATCGCTGGGCAGGTCCAAGCTACGTTGTTCGAAAAGCTCCTCGACGAAGAGTACGCCGGAAAGACGATCTTCAACATCAAAGAGAGGGAGTGGGTGATCGCGCTGCTCACTGTCATTCTCTCCAGACAGAAGACGCACGCCAAGCGAGCCCTCAAGACAATCATCTCGCTCGAGGAAACTGTCGCTGCGTCTGAGAACCGTGCGTGGTTACTTGTTAATCGCGGCACATCTGAATTTGACCGATACCATGTGACACTGCGTTTCAGAGCTCAAAAATCGTTCACTCAAGCAGAGCGAGATTTCGAAGACTCTCCGCGTTTTCACACGGAGCAGCAATCGCCTGATTAAGGCCCGTCTCCAAACCCGCCGCGAAGAGGACATTGAGAAGAACGAGAAGCTGTCAGATGTTCTCAGAGCGGTGCAGAGTTCCATGGAGGGCAAACACAGCAGCGGTTCGACCGACCTCTTTTGTGTTTGATTAAAAGTAGCTGACTCCGTTAATTTTAAGCCCTCTCAAGTGACACGCACCGTCTTATTGTGCAGATGATGAGCCAGGAGGCGGTCGACGACATCGAGAACGAGATCAATGACGCGCTGGACCACTACAAGAAGGACGGCGAGGACTTGCCGTTCGCTGAAGGGGACCGGGCAATCCTTGCGGACTGGAACCTCGACGCCGAGCTCAAACACCTCACGCACAAGAACCCTACGGAGCTCTGGCAGTACTTGGGAATCATGGATGAAAAGCTCGTGCCGCTGTCAGACTGGCGCGATCCTTATCTTCTGTATACGACATGGACAAACCACCTGGAATGCCCCGAGGAGCGTAAGCTCCCCTGCAACCTCAAATGGCACCAACTTGTCGGACTCTGCAGGCTTGTGGAGGCCGTGTTCGACAACAAGAGTCTCCTCGTCATGGATGAAGTCGGTGTCGGGAAGACGCTGCAAGTCATTGCTCTCATCGCGTATCGTATCATGTCGCTTCAGTCGATCGAGAAGAACGGCGAGCACCTCGGCGTCTTCAGTGAGTCACGTAGTCCCTTTCACTGCCGGTACATCTGCGCAAGCTCGCCCGCCAGCGGCGAGCATCAGCTACCACTTTGGGTCGCTGAAGGAAACTGTTTGTCTGGAGTAGCGGACGCGGTCGCCGCTGGCGGGCACCCCGGCATTAGTGCCCATTGCGCAGGCTGCACTACATGGCCGCATCGCAGTGCGGTCCGCTCTCCCACGGTTTACCCATCAGCGGCGGGCAGTTTCTAACTGCCCCACTGATCGAGCTCTGATTCGTTTAAGAGCCGTTAATGCGCCCGCCACTGGCGAGCAGATATTCAGAGAAACCTCATTTTCATTTTTGCATTCTAACGCTTTTACTGTGGCAGAGAACAAGACGAAGGGCACGCTCAAGGACGGGCCAGTGCTGATTGTTGTTCCACCCTCGCTCTTCAACCAATGGCTGGACGAGCTTCAACGTTGGCTCAAGTACGGCGCGGTCGACATTGTGATTTACACCGGTCAATACAATCGGAAAAAGTGTCAAGAGTGGTGGGATGCGTGGAAACAGATGTCCACGAAGCGCTTCACTCGGGTCATTCTTGCCACTCGGGCGGTATGTTTGTTTTTGTTTTCTGCTGTGTGTCCCATCAAACATACTACATCACAATAGGCTCTTTGGTCCAATGCCGCCGCCGCGGTGAAGTCGAAAGAGGACGTCGTCAGACCTGGCGACCTGCCGACGCTCTACCACACCGGAGTTGGCCTCTTCATAGCTGACGAGATCCACGACGTCCGCAATAGCAGCCAGCGGCTGAACGCATTCATTGCGATGTTGCGAGTTGTGGGTTCAGCGGTTCTTTTAACCGCGACTCTGATGGTTACTCGGCCGCAAGTGAGATTTGTGTCACATTTTCTACAGCGGTTAGTTAAATTAATTATACCATTGCGAACTTTTCAGGACCTCCTCAACATCGGCAAAATCATGCTCATCAAGCATTGCTCCTTCGCCGCCATTTGGCAGGACTTCAGGCGCAAGATCAACGCTGCCAAGCGGCAAGATAAGAGGCAGCGCGACGAGATCAGGGGAGAGGTGACTGTGGACCGCGCTCGAGCTCTTCTTGGCCGCGGCTCAGGCCCCAGCGAGCTCGACAAGGCCAACAAGGAGTGCATCCAAGACCTTCAAAAAATCTTCACTGGCTACGCGATACGGCAAACGATCGACAACCTCGACTACCAAGGAAACAAGATATGGGGCGCGGAACCGCCTTTCGACAGATACCTCTTCCTCAAGCTCAACGACGCCGATAATACGGCGATTCAGGAGCTCGCGGAGGATTCCGCCGGAGCCACCGGCTTAGAACAGAACGTGAGTACTGCGACTGCGCTGTTTGCCTGATGTCCTTTTTAGGCGACAGTGCCAACTGCTCGCTGCTAGCCAGTGGCGGCTACGGCGCGCGGGATACCCTCGCGAGCCGTGAGACGGATAGCCAAGCGGCGGTCAGGCAGTCCACTCATCCCGGCTGATGCAGTAAGCACCGTACTGTAACCGCACTGGTGGTCGCCACTGGCGGGCACTTACTGGGAGCTATGCTGCTCGGATGATTGCTCAGCGATAGTGTTCGCCCGTGGGGACAGAATTTTGTGTCCTCGCTGCACGTCCTCCTAGAATTAACTTCTCGATTTGGCTAGCTTTTTACTGACGGTATCTTCAGCGTTTCTACTTGGGGGTCAGAAAGATTCTCGCACATCCAGACTATTACCATGTGGACAAGGACATTGATAGGGTCATAACCAGGAAGGGTAAGCGGTCGGTGGCCAAGGAGCAGCACACAACGTGGCAAGGACCTCAGTCCCTCGAGGAGTACCGCGCTTCCCCATCCACGAAGCTCGACGCCACGGTCACGATTATCAAGCACCATATCATAACCCCTGGTGCTGCTCCTCTGGTCAACAGCTTTACCAACGGCAACACGATCCGGGAGGGCGATGAATTGTGGGATATTTACAACAACACGCTCATCCCGGATCGCAAGGCATTTATCTCCCGCACGTCTGAAGCGCTCCCTGAAGGACCGGATGAAGACCCGCAAAGGCAGCCTTCGCCAGAGTTGCCTCCAGACAGCGAGCAGGCCTCTCTGTGGGACACGTCGACTCCAGACAAGCTGGTGGTGTACGTGTTCTTTGCAGCGCAGCAGACGTTGCTCAGGAAGGTGGGCAGCCCGGCCGGACAATTGCGGCCTACGCAAACGTAACTAATAACTTAACCCATCCCATCCATTAGGTGCTCGAATGGGAAGGTATAACGCCCTACGTTTTGTCGGGTGGGATGTCTTCTTCCAAGCGTGCTGATGTTTTACGGGCGTTTCGTGAGCACGCGAAGCCCACCGTTCTTATCGTGACGTCGGTCGGCATTGTCGGACTCAGCCTCGATTGCGCCAACATCGTGGTGTTTTTCGTGAGTCGCTATCTGCTCCATTGGTGGCCCCAACCGTTGAATATCGGTAGTCTATCATGTGGTCTGGCCAGGACGATCGCCAGTTCATAGGGCGTGTCTGGCGCAGTCCTCAGATCAAGCCCATTATCATCTACCGTCCCCTCTCGATGGACCTCAACGAGAAGAACATGAGCAACATCGCGTTCAGCAAGGAAGAAATGCACACCCAGTTCTTTATGCCCAAATGTGTTGGTGAGTCGCCGTATGTGCGGTTATGAACAACCACTAACCATATTTCGGCAACACAGCGGACGCGATCCAGCGCGGCATCGAGAAAGCCATCGAGGAAGAGAACGAGGAGGACGAGGTCCCGCAGCTAGGGAAAGGGAAACGCAAGGCCACCAAGACGACCGAGGACACCG